ATTTTTTTTTTTTTATTTTTTTATTTATTTTTTTTTTTTTTTTTTTTTTTTTTTTTTTTAAATCCTCACAGATGGGTGACGGCTCAGAGAAAAGCTGCAGCACCAGCAGTTTCTGGGGGCTAACTCTCACATGCAGCTTTTACTGTCGACCTCAGAGACCGCAGATTCTCTGACTTTGTCTGCGTCGGCAACTCCTGCTAAGCCTCAGGGAGCCTCTGCGTGATCCCGTAACTGAGTCTCCATTCCTAACGCGCGGGACCCGGCACGTCCTAATCAAGCCCGGACATGGCTGCCCTGCAGTGAATCAGCGCCTGTAAAAAAATAAAATAAAAAAGAAGTAGAAACAGACAGAAGCTTCACAAACTCCTCTACAAGCTCCCACGTACTTCACCCACGTACACGCTCTCGCTCAGTCAAGTCACGCGCTTACTCACGTATGTAAATGTGCTTCGGCTGGTGCAGCGCCTCGTGAACAGTCCGAACCGTTTGGCCTGCTATGCTAGCTATCAGACTTGTTTTTGTGTCTCTTCCCGGCTGACAATTACTGTTTTGGAGCTCCGTGTTCGGACACGGGCCCCACGCCGTGTGTGGAGGTGGGTTGGAGCAGTCTGGAGGTTGCGAGCACGAGCAGCGCAATTAGTAGTTTGCGGTCTCCTCTCTGCACACTAATTACCTCGCGTTTAATGCAGTTTACACTGAGCTGCTGCTGCTTTTAGGAAGCCCTGCACCAAAAATAGACTCCGTCTGGGGTAAATTAGGAGCCTTGTAGGGTCACAAATTATGGTGTAATTGTTTTCTTGACTGCAGTTGTTTACTTGTATCCCGAGCAGCTAAGCTACCTGAGATTTCTGGAGTTGAGAAAGTGATAAGGAATTCACTCTTTGAATATTAGAAAAGACAAAAATAGGCTAGAAAAACAAGGATCAGTTAATTCCAGTGTTTAAGCCATGCGAAAGCGCAATGGGATATTTATGGTGCTTTGCAACCTTGTTGCCTCACAACTGCAGATTTCACTGAATTTCATTAGGATTTAATGTGAGCGACCAACACAAAGCAGTGAAGACTCTTTACTTTAGAACAACCTTTCAATGTAAAAACAACTGAATGTATTTTGGGGGTATTTTGCTACCAACTTTGCACTTTTATAAATAGCGTTTTTTGTGAGTTTAGTCTCTGCAAGATCAGTTAGCCTTAGTCAGATGTAAAACATTTGTGAAAATCCCTTGTTTCAAGTCTTAGCACATATTTAGGTCTAAACTTTGATCTAAACCATTCCATTGTATCTGTTTGCAATTCTTGGGTCAAAGTTCATCCAATCTCATGTAATTTGCAAGAGACTTTTAGAGGTGGACGAAATATCGATAATATCAGTAACATCAGTATCAATACTGATTGATACTAGTATAAAATCAATATCAAGTTGATCTACACTTTTTACTTTCAGATTCCATCTTGAAATTTTATGTTTGTATTGTAGTTTCTGAACTCTGCCTCAATTTTTTTTTTTCTGATTTGTTCTCATAGTATTTCACACTTTGTTAAATATCCTACATATATATATATATATATATATATATATATATGTGTGTGTGTGTGTGTGTGTGTGTGTGTGTGTGTGTGTCAACATGCTATTAAAGTATTTTGTAGATAAAATTTTTCCAAATTCAGAATAATACAAACTATAAATCAGAAATGCCTAATAGCATCAGTTTCACATTCAGACTTGAATAAAAATATCGGTATCAGTATCAGTATCAGTGATACAATCCATGCATCAGATTGATATCAAAATATGCAGTATTGGACATCTCTAGCAGGTTTTCTTAAGTTCAAAATGATTTGAACGCAGACTGTTTTAAACATTTCATTCAACTATGACGTTTGCTTCTCATAGGAAATGAGCAAGGCATCTCTCAAAATATAGTAAAACTATTTAAAAAGGAGTGTCAATAATTTTTTATGTCTACTATTTTTCTTTAATGAATTATCTTTGGGAATAAGTGTAATGACTTATCAGTTGGAACTCAGATCACAACCCAAGAGAGGTTATATGAGTTGTGTTAACAAATATCAAAGTGTATGAGACGGTTGATAATTTCTTCTTGGGATTGGCTTTCTGGTCAGACAGGATGGTGAATGACCGGCAAAACAAACAGGAAACAGGAAGTGCCGGAATACCCAACAGAGGTAGATTCCCAGGAAGTCGTCTCGTCTTTGGAGACTCTGACCTAAACAAACCTGAATGCCCTGAAAAATACCTGTTATTGATCAGTATGTCCTACTGGGGATTGTTTGACCCACACGAATGTAAGGTCAGCATCATTAGCCACCCTAGTGAAATCACTCAAAACTTTAAATATTTCCATGGAAGCAAATGACCCTGATAAAAACTGTTTGTGCTTGTATTGCTTAGAAAAGAAAAAAAGAGTCCACAAATCCTGATCAGGTGATGCTGAAGTGTGACAAGAAAACGAAAAAAATCACAAGGTCAGAATAATTTTCCCTTTTATTCTCTTTTCTTCTAAAACTCACCTGAAAATTTAATAAGCTTTCATGCCACACCTGAGTAAATCAACCAAGTAAATCACCCTAATCTTTAGCTCCTTCCATGATGCTCCCACCGCCATGTTTCATCATAGGGATAGAGTTTTCAGGATGGTTGTAGGATTGTTTTCATATTGTTTTGCAGTAAGGCAGAAAAAATGCTCAGCTTTGATCTGGTGTTCCCCTACATGCCTTGAATTAATCTGCAAATGGGACTTCATGTAAGTTTTTCCGTGTTATAAGATGTAAGCCATATTTGTAGAGCACACAGTGTCATTTATAATCACTCCTTTGTGTTGAGTTATAAATGGGGCTGTCAATCGATTCAATGTTTTAATCAGATCAAACACACTGTAGCGCTGTTTAATCATGATTAATCACTATGCCTAACTTTGTAAGCTTGAAATATAAATATGAACGCAGTTGTACTTCTTGCAGGAATTGACAAACTCCTCCTTCTTCCACACTTCATCCAATTAAAATGCAAACAATTACCTGGCTGTATTGTTTTAGCAGAAAGCCGATAATGTAGTCTCTCAGAGCTCAATAGAAACTAAGTTGTGAACTTGTTCAGGGAATAAGTGACAGATAAAATATATTTTATTTTCTAGTTCTTGGGCGCCACACCTATTTCTGACTCCGCCCTGGGCAACTGCCCATATATAGCCCAAATCAAAAACGGCCAATCTATGCAAGTTTTCAAAAAATGTTTAAGAAAATGTTGTCTCAAACCAAACATGTCTGAAGATTCTCAGTTTTCCAGGTTTTTATAATCAGGAAGGTTTAAAGGAAGCCATTTAATTTAGAAATGCCTCTCTCTATTCATCTATGGATCTTGTGCAATGAGGCGCCAGTTTCTTGACAGGTGGACTAGCAGCGCAAAGAAAAGTTGAAAAATGTTAAACTTTAGTTACTCTCTGTGCTGTCGCAGAAAACTTTCACCTTTCAGGTCGAAATAGCCAGTTTGATTAATCTGCTTTATGTGATCATTACGACAGGCCTATTTACGACACAAAATCCTAATGAAATTAATTGAACTATGTGGTCTTTGCATCACGGGGAAATATTTTTGAGAAATTAAACAAACAAGATGCAACATGACATGTTTCCTCGTTGCTGCAGGGCGACTTGCAACACATTTGCTGCAAGAGACTGTTGTCACTCCTCTTATCTGATTTTCTTTAGAAAATTCCCTGTCAAGATTTGCAACACAAACAAACCTGAGTAACACTAAAAACATTCAACTTCCAGAAAACTAGCGGTACACACCCACCACAACGCAGGAAAAACATTAACAAAAAAACCCACACACACACACATCTGCAACATTTGAAGTCTTTGATAGTTTATCCTCATGTCAAGAAAAACTCCATTTTCCCCTCTTTCATTTGTGACTCTGAAAGCCTGGACTTAGTCATCTTCACAGTGCCTGTCAAACAGTTCACTGCTTTGTCATTCCTCATCACAGTGTCAGCCTGAGAACAGAGTCATTTATTATCACATCTACGTCCAAAACAAAGAAAAGTTTGTTATGGCGAATTTTTTTATTTTTTTTATCAGATCTAGAAGCGTGTCGTCTTCTGCCGCTGCGAATGAGAGCGGCACTTAGTCGTCAGTGGAGCCTTGTTTGCTGCAACCGTTTTTTTTTTCTCTTCTCCTTTCTTCTTTTTTTTCCACATGAGAAAAAGGGAAGAGTCTGATGTTTCTTGTGTTTTGAAGCACAGGTCCTGGTCCTAATGGGGCTTTGCTCTGCGTTTTACTGTAAAGCGCGAGGACAGAAATAGCCGAACGATGCCTGGAGGCGAGAGGCTCGCATCCATAACGACCCCGGCCTTGTGATTGAAGAGGCCCCTCTAAAAAGGCAGAGCAGGTGGGAGTGTAGGTGGTCTCCCCCCAGCGCTCTCCTCACACAGAGTACGCACACACACGTACACACACAGGAACGCTGCTGGTTTTATGTACTGCTGCTTCGCTCTTTGCCTCTGCTAACATTGATTTGATCCGAGGAAATCTGCTGTTCTCTTTTTATTTCTCCATTTTTGTCTGATGCCCCCAACTTCTTTAATCCCGATGCGGTCCAGGACACTCTCGGTTTAGCTAACTGTGGACAATTTATTCCTGCATCTCAGTCCAAAGGCAGCATCTTTCAGGCACTATCAGCTTTCTCTTCTGCTGTGACTAATAGCGAGAGCTGCACTCCCGTCCCACTGACGTTCTGAAACGACAATGCGGTTTGAATGACTGGTTTAGAGCGTCTTCATTCATCCGCTTGAAATGCGGCGGCCCTCCAGGAGACAAACGAGGAAATCGTGTCCCGTGTCAACTTTTTGGAGAAAACCAGAACATCATCAGCCTAATCAGTTGTTGTTTTGTCTTGATTGATTCAGCCACAGACATTCGATAACCGGTACATCAGCTCAGCGTTGACGGTTTCTCAAAGGACGGTTACACTTTTGTGTCTACAATTCCTTGTAAGAGTATTCATGCTTCTTGATCTCTCTGCTTGATCTTACTAGTTAAAGTGGGTTCCCATATCTTTGCAGGCTCCCAGTTGGGTCATTCTCATCATTTTTAGAGGACGGATGATCTTTCACATGTTGTGGGATTTGTTTTCTATCTGTAGGCTACAAAGGTACATTTTCGGCTCTTCTGAAAATGTACCTTCTTCTTGCATGTGTTTTCTGTCTCTCCTGTAAATGGTCTTCTTATGGCTTTCCATCAACAGTAGCTAGTATCCATTGACGTGTTATTTTAATCGTGTTTCCTATTTTATGGAAACACTGTAATTGTTCAAAAAAGCACAAAAAGACCAGTAAAATTTTATAAATTTAGTTTAAAGAAACTAAAAGATTGAATGTAGAAACTAATGACAATGATCCATGTTGGTGTCAGTTTTATAGATCGGGGTCCCAACAGGGACGGCTTTCCATTGCTGATAACCAATGAAGTTTGAGATGTTCTAATTTGTTGCAAAGGAAAATCTACATGAACACCAGAACTGGATCTTAAAGAAACACTCTAGGCATTTATTAGCAGACATAAGAAGTGATTTGCTCTGACCTGACGAGTTGGAAACCTTAATACTTTACAAGGACTGAAGGCCACAAGCTCTGAACATGCATACTTATTATTTCCATTCCAATTTTAGAAAGGGATTTTTGTGTATAGCCATATCTGAATCCCACACTGCTTCTTTTTGGTGCTTCCTCTTC